TATACTGTGTCTACTGTGGCTGTGGCTGTGGCTGTGGCTGTGGCTGGGCTGGGCTGCCTGCTGCTGCTGCTGCTGCTGCTGCTGCTGCTGCTGCTGCTGCGTGCGGGTGCTGCTGGGCTGGTGCTGGTGCTGGCCGCTGGTGTGCTGGGCTGGCTGTTGGTGTGTTGTGTTGCTGTGTTGCTGTTGCTGTTGCTGTTGCTGCTGTGTTGCTGTTGCTGTTGTTGGCTGTTGTCTGTTGCTGTTGTTGCTGTTGCTGTTGCTGTGCTGTTGCTGTTTGCTGTTGCTGTTGCTGTTGCTGTGTTTGCTGTTGCATGTTGCTGTTGCTGTTGCTGTTGCTGTTGTTGCTGTTGCTGTTGCTGTTGCTGTGATGCTGTTGCTGTTGCTGTTGCTTTGCGGTTGCTGTCTGTTGCTGTTGCTGTTTGCTGTTGCTGTTGCTGTGCTGTTGCTGTTGCTGTTGCTGTGTTGCTGTTGCTGTTGCTGCTGTTGCCTGTTGCTGTTGCTGGTTGCTGTTGTGTTGCTGTTGCTGTTGCTGTTGCTGTTGCTGCTTGTTGCTGTTGCTGTTGATAGTTGTTGCTGTTTTGCTGTTGCTGTTGCTGTGGCTGTTGCTGTTGCTGGTTGCTGTTGCTGTTGCTGTTGCGGTTGCTGTTGCTGTTTGCTGTTGCTGTTTGCTGTTGCTGTTGCTGTGCTGCTGTTGCTGTTGCGTTGTTGCTGTTGCTTGCTGTTGCTGTTGCTGTATGTTGCTGTTGCTGTTGCTGTTGCTGTGCTGTGCTGTTGGCTGTTGCTGCTGTTGCTGTTGCTGTTGCTGTTGTTGCTGTGTGTGCTGTTGCTGTTGCGGGTTGCTGTTGCTGTTGCTGTTGCTGTTGCTGTTGCTGTTGCTGTGCTGTTGCTGTTCTGTGTTGCTGTTGCTGTTGCTGTGCTGTTGCTGTTGCTGTTGCTGTTGCTGTTTGCTGTGTGTTCTGTTGCTGTTGCTGTTGCTGTTGCTGTTGCTGTTGCTGTTGCTGTTGCTGTTTGCTGTTGTTGTTGCTGTTGCTGTTGCTGTTGCTGTTGCTGTTGCGTTTGCTGTTGCTGTTGTTGCTGTTGCTGTTGCTGTTGCTGTTGCTGTTGCTGTTGCTGTTGCTGTTGCGTTGCTGTTGCTGTGCTGTTGCTGTTGCTGTTGCTGTGCTGTTGCGTTGCTGTTGCTTGCTGTTGCGTTGCTGTTGCTGTTGCTGTTGCTGTTGCTGTTTGTTGCTGCTGGTTGCTTGTTGCTGTGCTGTTGCTGTTGCTGTTGCTGTTGCTGTGCGGGGCTGTGCTGTTGCTGTTGCTGTTGCTGTTGCTGGGCTTTGCTGTTGCTGTTGCTGTTGCTGTTGCTGATTGCTGTTGCTGGCTGTTGCTGTGTTGCTGTTGCTGTTTGCTGTTGCTGTTGCGGCTTGCTGGTTGCGTTGCTGTTTCTGTTTGCTGTTGCTGTTGGTGTTTCTGTTGCTGTTGCTGTTGCTGTTGCTGTTGCTGTTGCTGTTGCTGTTGCTGTTGCTGTTGCTGTTGCTGTTGCTGTTGCTGTTGCTGTTGCTGTTGCTGTTGCTGTTGCTGTTGCTGTTGCTGTTGCTGTTGCTGTTGCTTTTGCTGTTGCTGTTGCTGTTGCTGTTGCTGTTGCTGTTGCTGTTGCTGTTGCTGTTGCTGTTGCTGTTGCTGTTGCTGTTGCTGTTGCTGTTGCTGTTGCTGTTGCTGTTGCTGTTGCTGTTGCTGTTGCTGTGCTGTTGCAGGTTGCTGTTGCTGTTGCTGGTTGCTGTTTCTGTTGCTGTTTCTGTTTCTGTTGCTGTTGCTGTTGCTGTTGCCGGTTGCTGTTGCTGGTGCTGTTGCTGTTGCCTTGTTGCTGTTGCTGTTGCTGGTTGCTGTTGCTGTTTTTTTGTTGTTGCTGTTGCTGTTGCTGTTGCTGTTGCTGTTTCTTTTGCTGTTGCTGTTGCTGTTGCTGTTGCTGTTGCTGTTGCTGTTGCTGTTGCTGTTGCTGTTGCTGTTGCTGTTGCTGTTGCTGTTGCTGTTGCTGTTGCTGTTGCTGTTGCTGTTGCGGTTGCTGTTGCAGTTGTTGCTGTTGCTGTTGCTGTTGCTGTTGCTGCTGCTGCTGCTGCTGCTGCTGCTGCTGCTGCTGCTGCTGGTGCTGTTGCTGTTGCTGTTGCTGTTGCTGTTGCTGTTGCTGTTGCTGTTGCTGTTGCTGTTGCTGTTGCTGTTGCTGTTGCTGTTGCTGTTGCTGTTGCTGTTGCTGTTGCTGTTGCTGTTGCTGTTGCTGTTGCTGTTGCTGTTGCTGTTGCTGTTGTTGTTGTCGTTGTCGTTGTCGTTGTCGTTGTCGTTGTCGTTGTCGTTGTCGTTGTCGTTGTCGTCGTTGGTGTTGTTGTTGTTGTTGTTGTTGTTGTTGTTGTTGTTGTCGTTGTCGTCGTTGGTGTTGTTGTTGTTGTTGCTGTTGTTGTTGTGGTTGTCGTTGTCGTTGTCGTTGTCGCTGTCGTTGTCGTTGTCGTTGTTGTTGTTGCTGCTGCTGCTGTTGTTGTTGTTGTTGTTGTTGTTGTTGTTGTTGCTGTTGTTGTTGCTGTTGTTTGTTGTTGTTGTTGAGTATTGTTGTTGATGGTTGTTGCTGGCTGTTGCTGGTTGCCGCTGGCTGCTGGTTGTTGGTTTATGGGGTTGTTGGTTGTTGGTTGTTGGTTGTTGGCTGCCTGCTGCTGGCTGCTGGCTGCTGGCTGCTTGTTGTTGGCTGTTGGCTGTTGGCTGTTGGCTGTTGGCTGTTGGCTGTTGGCTGTTGGCTGTTGGCTGTTGGCTGTTGGCTGTTGGCTGTTGGCTGTTGGCTGTTGGCTTGGCTGTTGGTTGTTGGTTGTTGGTTGTTGGTTGTTGGTTGTTGGTTGTTGGTTGTTGGTTGTTGGCGGCTGGCTGTTAGTTGTCGGCTGGTGATTGTTGATTGTTGAGTGTTGATGGTTGAATGCTGATTGTTGATTGTTGACTGTTGACTGTTGATGGTTGATTGTTGATTGTTCATTCGAACGCAGCCCTCCGGGGCCCCAACGAAGTATATCGCACAGCCAGCAAAAGAAGCAGCGCAGTCGGATCCAAAATGGAGGCCTCCGTAGCAAACAACGCAAGAACGTGCACAAAAAAAGCACGAATTGATGTTGCGGTCTTTAAGCCGAAGCGGCGCTGGATCTGCAGCCTCCAAGTGGAGGAGTTCTTCTTCCGGGAGGTCGGAGATTTCGCTGCCATCATCGCCATGCTTCATTGAGCGTGCCTAATCGCGCGCGTTTCCTCAAATGACCATTTGCTTTCACTAACCTGCGAGCGCGCGCAAGCATGAAATGAAAGCCAGATGCCACCGAAGCAGACGGGCGAACGCTCTCGTAACAAGGTCTGAAAAGCGAGGGCGCGCGATACCTGTTTGGCTGGTTACAGAACGACCTTTTTGACTCTCAGCGGAAGGTCGTTCACACGAGCCGTCAAAGGACCCTCGGCTCTGCTCATCGAGCGGGCATTGCGCAGGGAAGCAAGGAGCAATCCAAGTTTCTGAGCTGCCCGACACTTCGTCCGCCCACTTTCTGAGGTAAACGTTGCCCTTCACGGAATCTTTCTGAGCTGCCCTTGCAAGAACTTAATGCTGTCCTTGGTGTAGGGTTCACGACTTCACGACCGAGCGGCAGCAATCTTGAGTAACTGGGTGACACAGTCGACAGTGAGGCTACCCTTCTCGCTGTGGTAGGTCTCCGCGGAGCACGTTTGGCCACACGGATGGCATAAGGCATAGGACAGCCACACGAAACAGCGCAGTTGATCACGGGCATGGCTATCGGCAGACGTGGGCAGTTGGTGGAATGCTGCCGTAGAAGGTGCCACCACAAAGGATCCCGCAACACCCCTCCTCTTGCAGTATCTTCCGGCCACTCAGGCCTTGATGAACTTGCCGGAAGGGTTGATGCGAGGGGTCAACGCGTGGCTGATGTACAAGCTGTCATCTGTAGGGTTGATGCGACGACCTTCTCCTCAATCTCCTAGGTCATCTTGGGGCGACCTGCGGCCTTGAACGACTCAGCCTGCTGGATAGAATTGTTGTGCTCCATGCCCTGGGTGTCGCCGGTTCGCGCTCACCTGAAGGCCTGCCACTTCCACACTGATCCTTGCCAACACGGTGATGTCCGGCCCTGCTTGGGTGAGCCAAAGCCTGGCCTCAGGCAGGCAGGGCACGCATATCAAACGCAACTGCGCTTGAGGCGGGTCGGCTGTCGCACGCGCACGCTGCGGCCAAGGCGCAGGTCCTGTCCACTTTCCTGCGAAGCTATCAAAGCCGATCTGCGCCGCGATACCGCACACCACCCTGCCGAGCTTGGCGCCGGCGGCGATTATTTGACTCGTCCTGGTCCAGATCACACATGACTTTAAGGGCGCTAAGGGCGCAGCAAACCCTGACCCCTGAAAGCCAACCTGAAGGCGACAGCAAGCCACAACAATCGTCTAAAAACAAGGCCGGGCCTGGACCCACGTACCTCAGACCTGGATCTCTTCTTCCGTTGCAGGCAATGGGCAGCAGCAGCAGCACGCAGAGAAGACTTCTTGGACGGCCTGGCCGGGTTCTCTAAGCACTGTCCCACGGTCCCACGCATCAACCGCAGCTTAAGGGCCAAGCCTCCAGAAAGCTCCAAAGCTGCTTGCGCTGCTGCGCGGCCTGTCACGCTTCAAGCAATCTACTACTTAGACTAAGTCGGTGTCAAGCAAGGGTCGTTTCATCAGACGCAGCCTTCCTGTGCACCTCCTTAACTGTGTACTTGATATCCCGTCGAAAAAGGGCTTGTGCCTGCTCAAGGAAAATTTTGAGAACGCCGATTTTCATGCACTTCTCAAATACGCAGCAACGCCCTTGGCCTCATTGATTGGCATACCATTGCGACGCCTTTCTGTATATCGCCCACTGCGAGAGCCCACGCCGTCGACAGCCCATCCAATGAACTGGCACTCCGACATCTGGCCCTACACTGACTCCAACTCCAACTGAGCCCTCTTGAGCCGTGCTGCATGCTATAAAATGCAAGCAAACCGCAATGGCCCACACATGCACAACTGAGAGCATGACATGACAGCTCAGCTGGCAAGAGAACCTTGAACTGCATGCGGCGGTACAAATCCTTTGGTGGCCACGCTGTAACGATCGAAACAGCGCCCGCGAAAACACGATCAGCAAAGGCTACCTGACAGGTCTCTGTTACTTTCGGTTTGGTGCGCCAAACACCCCAAAAGCCCTACCCTACGAGTTTGCGGCTGAGGACTTTTAAGAGCTAAAGGCCCGAAATCTGAAAGTCCGTGAACCTTAGTCTTCCTGAACCCTCCAGCCGCATCATGAACCTCATTGGGCTTCGCCTTTGGGGCTTTGACGAGGTTTTGCTGGGTTTGGGCTCGCGCATAGAACGGCTGCGCACCCAGAAAAAACTCCCAGCTGCCCTAGCCACCAACCTAGGTCCCACACCCGCTAGAGCGGCATGAACTATGAATACGTGCCCAAACACGTTGAACAGCAGCCACAAGCCTCTTAACAAGCTTGACTTCCTTTTTTCCTGCGGGATCTGCTCGGGCGTTCGGGATCCAGCAGCATTTTCGCAGACTCAATGGCTACCGTGGCATCTCTCATCATCTCACAGTTCAAGCGCAGCCTCCTTTGAGGCAGCTTCAAGACGGGCACGAACGGCGTCTCGCACGTCAACTGGGCAGGCCCTAGGCGGACGCTGGCAGCCGAACTACCTGTCAGAGAGATGCTGGAGTGGAGCGTGGGTCCAAGGCCACAATGCCAAGCACGTGGAGGCCCATGCACTCCAAGTGCCCTGCCACTGCCTGGGCCACATTCACGCCGAGCGAGTGCCCGCTCAAGATCACCTGGAAACTTCCGCCCGAACCGTGGAGGACATGGACGACATGGAGGGCATGGAGAACCCAAGAAGGGCCCTTAGCAGCAACGCAGCGGGCGCTGCCAAGCGCAAGGCTTCCTCCACAGATGCCCACCGAACAGCTGGCACTTGCAAGGAACATGCCGGCCATGTCAGCATACGACTGGGGAACAGCTGCCTGTCGCACTGCTCCCAAGAACAAGACAAGGGCAGCATCCCTTCCGTTCCTTTTGTGTGCATCCTCTCGTGGCAGAGTTGTTTCCGTCGATGCCTTGATCCCGGGCCTGCGAAGACGCCCTGCGCGACGCAGTGGAGGTCGATGCCCAAGGACCAAGCATGACCGGACACCAATGTTAACGTTGGGGCACATGCTGAGTAAGCCAGTAACACGTGCATTTTCTATCATTTTCTGAAGTGGGAAACAGCCGCACTTTTACGGGGAGTTGGACTGACTTGAAGAGAAACGTGGAGAATTCAAGTATTTGGGGTCTCCCTTTTGCCGGCAAGAGCTAGAGCTTCAGACTGCACAAGAGGGAACACAACGAGGGCGAAAGCGGCGGCAAGAGGTGTCCACAAGGAAAGGCGACAGCTCAGAGATCACGTGATCACATGGTGCTCCATTATCTTGACACCGTCATGTGGCATCTGCAGGGCAAATGGCACGCCAGCACAGCATGTTGCACAGCTGGAGCCCTTTCACGGACCTCCGAGAGCGAAAGCGGCTCTTGAAGCGCCATTCTCGTGCAACATGTGCCGGGGTCAGTTTCTCGGCCTCTTTGGCAGGCTCGAACACCAGCAGGGCACACAATGCACGGGGCATCCGGCAGGGCTGGACAATTTAGAGAGCAAAAGCGGCTGAGTCCTACATGAGCACGAGGAAAGGTCCGAAAGGTGGCAGCTGTTTCAGAGAGTTTTTTGCACGTGCTTCTTGTGCTTCTTGTCAACCCTGGCTCCGTGGGTCTTGGGGACCGCACTGGGGATTGCAAGAGCGAATACATCGAGTACATCACACTCGCGCACTCGAGGAACACCAGAGGCGTGATGGAAAACAATGCCACCGTCATGGCCAGGCATCTCTTGGACTTAGGTCAAGGCCCTAACTCACCCTCCCGAATGATGGTCTCAATGGTCTCCCGTTCCTAGGGTTAAGGTTTGTTCAAAAGTCCTCCTGCAAAGGAGCGGACTGCCTGAAATCTCATCAAGCAAGAGAGGAGCGGTGACGACGAAGGTCAACGCGGCCTTGGACTTGCGATGGTGGGGAGAGCGCCACGGAGAAGATGTGAGGGATGCAGGCATCACGTCGGCCGAATCACGGCAGCCACTTGCAAAGAGTACTAAAGATGACTCAGCTTTGTTGCTCACAGAATGCAAGGGCCCTCCCCTTCGCCGTGGAGCTGCGGAGCTGCATGCTTGGCAAGTCCCACGGGTCTCCCAGGGTTTTGGGTTTAGGGTTTAGGGTTTGGGGCTTAGGGTTTAGGGTGTAAGGCATAAGGTTTTGGACTTTCAAGACTCGGCAAAGACGCGGCGGCTCTGCGCATGTCTATCGAACCAACCACACCATCCACTCCACACCGCAGCACGCGGCGACGGACGCAGTCACAAGGCTGGACAACGTTTCTCCCTACAACACAAATGAAAGTTCAAATGAAGATTTCTCCAACTCAGAAGCCTTGGTAAAAGCCGCGTAGCAAAATGCAGCACTCTACGCTGGTTGTGGCACTTCGCGTGCTCTCTGTTGATTTGGTTTTCTGCGCACACAAAGAACTTTCGCAAGGCGCCGCTGCCTGAAAACGTTGCCTCTGAATACAGTGTAGCTGGAGGGAGGTGAGATCTTCGGATTAAGTTCCGGATTGGGTCGTTGCCTGGCAAAGCCCTGGAGAAATGCACCAGACACTTGTGCAATGGGGCATCCAGCTGCACATCTACAGGGGAACCACAGCGCGAGAGCGGCTGCGGAGTCTAGCATGAGCTCTACCTCGGAGGCTGACAGCTGTTGCAGAGAACACATGGGCATTTCTCAAAATAGGGGTACCCCCTTTTAATACCCTTGAATAGACTCCCCTTACAGGGACCCCCAAGCCAATTTGGGAAACCCGACGCTTCAGAGGCATGGTAGTGCCACTCTCGCAGCATCACTTGGCAGGGAAGACAAGGGTGTAAGGGAACATTCCAGCGCGCAGCAGTCGGAGAGCCAGGCACGTTCGGTATAGATGTTGTGTAAATCATCTGTCAGGGCACTTGATTGACTCATGCAGCTGCACAGCTCAGGCAGGTTGGATGTCCAGTTTACTCGCAGCTGCACAGCCCCCACACACTCATCCGCATATTCCGCATGCATCTCGGCCGCACATCGCGCGCGAAACCCATGCCTACAAAACACTTGTGCAAGCAAGGCGGGGCATCTAGCTGCACATCTGGAGAAACCAGTTTTGTGTTGGCCCGAGGTCGTCTCTTCCCCCTGCAGAGAATGTGTGGCACTTCAGGCACTCGAGCTTGCCCGTGAGGGGAAAGGTCCCGAGCGTGGGTCTGTCACCGTCTCAGGACCGTCCGTTCACTCCGACTGGAGGTTTCTCTATACAAGCCAAGCTGTTGCAGAGAACACATCGTGCGCCATGCTACCACACGAACACAACGGTAAGGGAACATTCAGCTGCACAGAAGTCAGAGAGCCCGGCGCGGGCAGCTATTGCTCTCTGCACTGGAGCCTCGTGTCCTCGATCGTGCCCCATGCTCGGCAGAAGAAATACTGTCTAAGCAATGCATCAGAGCACCTGGGCACCTGACTCGGAGCAAAAGCGATTGTACAGTTGGCGGGCGCCTAGTTAACTCAGTAGACAGGGCATCCGCAGCTGCGGCAGCCTCCACACTCGCATCCACACTCGCACCCACACTCGCATCCACACGCATCCACACGCATCATGCAAGATCCTCAGGGTCCGTCTTCGGGCTCTCTACACATAAAGACGCAAAGCACACTCCATCAGGCCTGCGCCTTCAAAGGCAGAATGAATCACTAGATCAAGACGCTCTCCAAACTGTCTTGGCGGACTAGGGAAAGCTGAAAAGACTGCCAGCCTGGGCACACAGGCTGTGTTCACTTCGACCGGGATGCTTCCAAGGCAACGCGCATGTGAAGGTCGCCCGCGAACACCCGCGGAGCCTCGAGCTTCCGAGCTTCCTCAGAAAGCCCCACGCTTCTGCGAAGTGGTCGGCGTCCTCGCGCTGCGTTCATGGAACGCGCTGACATCCTAGAACAGCAAAGGCACCTACAACGGTAACTCTCGACATGCCTGAGAGAACTCTCCATCTGCAGTTAATAGCCTTTTTTCACCTGTCGAGGCCAGCTTTACCTTGAACCAACTGAAGAAGGCCTGCGGCGCCCAAGCCTAAGCCTAGGCCTAACCTGAGAGTAGGAATTGCGATGCTTGGGAGCTGTGCTTCAAGAGGAGGACATGCCGTGTTGGGGGCTTGGCAACCCAGTTGCGCACCAATGGGCTGAAAGCACGCCAGACTTGGCTTCTATGGCTCCTCACTTCAACCGAAGGGTTGGGCTGCACATGATCGACCCGGCATGCTGAGTCCCCAAAAAAGCCAGGAACGTACAGTAACACACAGGGCGTATGGCTGCAAAACGACATGCTGAGTTTCAGAAGCGGGTTGAGAGGCGAGATATCCGCTGATGCCCAAAGCTCCCAAAGCTCCCGAGAAGTCGGAGTGGAAACTTTTAAGAACTTGGCACAAGAATCGCCTGCCACTACTCGGAAGTGCCAAAAGCATGCAAGACCGGAGGGGCGACTTGGAATTGGACGCAAGCATGGCTGCGCATCATGCGCACTGACACCCTTAAGACGCTCGTGGTTGAGAGGAAAGAAAACACAGGCAGACATGTCACATAAGGCAGTATCTCCAACTAAAGCTGAACCCGTCACAGAGTCAAGTGGCAGAGATTGAAAGGTCCGCGGTGCACCGGCCACTCGCATGGATATCTTTTGAAAGCATTACGCAAAGTTTGCCAAACCGGAGCTTGGCCACTCTTCCCAGACCAGCCTGATCGATAGCGACATCCAAGGAAGCCAACCAGACAAATCCGACCGGAGGGGGGGGGCAGGGGGGCCTTCTGCCCCCCCGTGCCCACCCCCCCTCCCCCCCCATTTTCCCCCCGCCAGCCCCACCCCCCCCCACCCCCCAACCCCGTCACCAGGAACATGCCTTGAAGTTTCGGTCTCTCGACACCATTCAGCAACCCTGACCGAACCTCTACAACCTCATATAGGCTTTAGGGTTAGCCTAAAGGGTTTAGCCCTAAACCCTTAACCCTAAACCCCAAACCCTAAACCCCAAACCCTAAACCCTATTAAACCCCTAACTGTGAGCATTAGGTTACGAATCCTGTCCAAGCCGAACCGTCTAAACCCTGAATTTTGAACCTTGAGCTCTAAGCCCGAAAAACTTCAACCCCAAACCATAAACCTTGAGCCCTATAAGCCCTCAACCCTAAACTAACCCTCAACCCTAAACCCTAAACCCTAAACCATAAACCCGGAACCCGAAACCCTAAACCCAACCCTTATTGCTTGGGGTCCAGCGACTTGCTCACGCGGATGCGCTGGGCCGGGGCGAGGCGGGTCGCGTAGCGTTAAAATTAGTTAAGTGTGTAGGGCCCTATGTAGGATAACCTTAGGGTACGCTGAACACTCATTCTAACCTACTTACTATGTTCCCTGAGCTCTGCTTGTTAAGAGTGCGATGGCTAGAATGCTTGCAGCGCGGGGATGCAAAGGTGTAAGCTTTAAGACTTTATTGTCGAAGGCTCAGGGTAGTCGTTGGCTCGTGTTTCAACAACTTGGGACTTCCGAGGGTGGCGTGGATGGGACTTCCGAGGATGACGTGGAGCTTAGTTAGTGGAGTAAATTGGACTCGTGTGGCTGTCAGAAAGGATTCTGCATGGAGAACCACATGGTACCTAAAATGAAGTCACAAGAGTCTGGTTGCATGTCATCTTCCACTCTTGACTGCACGAGAGAGATTGAAGCCACTATATAAGTTCCGAATCCTGGGCACGTAACTAGCTGGGACCCAGGCCTTGGCCCAAGCACTTTCTCTCCGCACATGCAGCCGCGGGGCAAGGGCTGCTCAACGCCGTCAACAGGATTCCAGTGACTGGCCTGGCACAAGGCATCGCAGGGCATCACAGGGCTCCTGATCATGCGACCCGGCCCGGATCGACATTGCACATCATTGCACCCTCTTTTAGCTTCGGGACTCGGGATTCCTCCTCCAGTGCAAGGTATGCCATGGAAACTTCATCATCGTGGCATCGTGGCATTTATTTCTTGTCGACCGCAGGCTGGGATTCACGTGTTTCGATGGACTTCTAGAAACCTACAGAGTTCGCAGCACGACTGCGTGACTGACTTTTTGCTGCTGCTGCCCTGCATGTCGCACGGAACAACCGAGATCTGCCACAAAAACTCCGAAATTCACACAAGGTCACACAAGACAAGGACATCTAAACACGTCGCTTCCGATTGCATCTCAACAAGAGGCAAAACTTTTGCTGAATTTAGGAGTCTCTGCATGTCTTGCTTTGGGCCCTGATCTCGGATCTCACACGGCAGCTGGAACGCTCGATGGGAAAGCTCGTGGATTTAGCAAGCACTGGACTTGCAAGAGAGCCGCGTCCCATAAGATGAGGAGGTAGCCGGCAGGTACGGCTAGGCACAGTGACAGTAGATTGCAATGGATGTCCTCTTGAATTAAGACGTTCCCCAAAGAGGGCTGTAGGAGACAGGTCCGAGTACCACGACCTAAATTTCATGGGCTCAGGCCCCTATGCCTATGCAGAAACAAAGCTCAGCCTAAAGGTCCGAAGTGCTCAGGTGACTTTACTGGCACTCCCTGACCCGCAGGCCAAAAAAAACGAAGAAAGCCAACATCGGAGCCAACATCGGAGCCCTCTCAGAGCTCCACCGCGTGGGCCGCAGCGCGCGCGGTGCGGGCGCGGGCCTGCGCGAAGCTGGGGCCCAGGAAGCGCTGCTTGGAGCCCTTCTTCGCACCCGCGACGCCCGTGTCGGTCTGAGACAGCTGCATGAGTTGCGCGTTCGGCTTGCACTGGGAGTACCACTCGTTCCCAAAGGTGCAGGTGTAGCCGGAGGTGCAGCAAGTGGGGCCCTTGTGGTTGTTCCCTCCACACTGTGCCCAGGCGCCGGCGCAAGCTGTGGTTGTTGTGGTTGTGGTTGTCGTCGTCGTGGTCGTGGTGGTCGTGGTCGGGCGGTCAAAGCTCAGGCACGTGAAGCCTTGAAGTGGCTTGGAGGCCTGAATACCCTCCGGACGGACCCACACCTCACATCTTTGTCCTGAGAACTCCACACCCTTGCATTCTGCCGTGAGCTCACAGATGTCTCTGCACTCCCCCAGGCTGGCGGCCGTCTTCACAACGTAGTGGCTGGGAGAGTTGTCGCCGAGGCTGCCCCCTCTGCACGCCTGGCCGCTGCCTCCGTTGACAGGGGCCCAGCCAGGGCCAAGCGTTGTCGTTGTGGTCGTCGCCTCAACTCCGAAGCGCAGGCAGGTGAAGCCGGTGAGAGGGATGGAGGCCTGGATCCCCTCTGGCCGAGTCCACACCTCACACCTCCCCTTCGAGAACTCAATCCCTTGGCAAGCTGAAGTCGCGACACACTCGGCCTTGCAGGCGTCCACGTCCGCAAGGCCGCTGACGACGGTGTAGTAGCTGCCAGAGTTGTCACCCGGAGCACCCCCTCGGCACGCACGGCTCTCCCCACCGTCCACCGGAATCCAGGACTTGACGATGGTTGTAGACATGGTGGTGGTCGTCACCGCCGGCACGGGATACATGGGCTGGGTGGTGCCAATCTCTCCGAAGGCCACGTTGGCGAAGGTCACGGAGCCACCGGGATGGGCGCTGCGCACGCTCCTGGGCAAGCTCTCCGGCTCGCCTTGGCAGAGGCCACGCTGCACTCCCGGGTCCGTGCAGGGCTTGTCCCTGGGGAAGCAAGAGTCGAGCCACATCATGCTGACGTCCACGTCATCCCAAAGTGAGAAGGCTGCGACGTGACCGCGATCGAGCGATTCGCCCATGCCCTTGTTGCCACCCTTCTCCTTGAAATCGTTGACGTCGCCGAAGAGGGCCTTCTTGTCCTCACACATCTGGTCGGTGATGGAGTCCGGGTTTCCTGGCAAAATAGGGATGGGAGGACTCTCAAAGACTTTCCCATCCTGGATGTAGAAGCGCCGGATTTCCGACAGGTCACCCTGGTCGGTGCCGTCCGTGGTGAGGAACTGGGTCACCACCGTCATTGGCTTCGAGGAGTCAACGGCGAAGTTCGGGGATGCGCCATAGAAGGTCTTGTTGCCCATTCGAAACGGGTTGATGTCGCAGCCGTCCTTGTCACAAACTCCATCATAACGCTCCCCGCTGTCGTTGTCACCGCACTCCGTGCCTTCGCACATGTACTGCCCTGGAGTGTCGATGTCGCAGGGGTGGGGAGTGTAGGCAGTGGCCATCTTGTTTGCCTCCCAGATGTCCATCTCGGCACAGCAGGCCCCGTAGTGCCCGATGCCCATGTTGTTGGAGAAATCCTTGGGGTTGGGCTTCCAATCCTCGGAGTTGGCCTTGCCCCCGATGAACTTGATGTCGTGCGGGCACTGCGCGTCGCAGTAGCCGGTGCCGTACTTGGCGCCGGCTGCGTTGTTTCCAACTCCCCGGCCACCGTCCGCAGCCATCTCGGAGAAGTACATGGCTCCTTCAATTGCTAGACACTCTGAAGCAAGCAGGACACTCTGAAGCCTCTGAGCTCTTTAGACTTGTTGCCTAATCTTTCACTTATTATGTCCTTAAGCACCGTGGCCTACTTCACACACACACACACACACACAAGAAGCCTGTGCCTGTGGCTACGTCTGATGCCTGAACCCCTAGACGTGGCAATACTTTCCGCGCTTGTTCTACAGCAATGCAGCCACCAAGACTCTTGCGGAGGCTTACCCCCCCAAAATCCACCTGAAGAGCTGAAACTGAATCATGTCCGTGGCTCCGTTCATCCCGCACTCTACCTGTGAGGAATCCACGTCGAGGGCAAACTCCCGGTTCTTCAACTTGAACATCATATAGGTGTCATCATCCTCCAGGAGGAAGAGCCTTGAACCAACATTCGCGCCGGTGACGAAGCCAAGGCGCACACCCCCCGGGATGCTGGTGATGCCGTAGGTATTCTGATACTGCTGAGCATCCACGCCCTCAAGCGCACAGTCGCGAGCACAAGTGTCACCATCCGTGCAAATGGACGTGTCCCATTGATTGCCCGTGTAGCAATTGGTGTAGCCCTGCGTGGTGTGGATCCAGCGCCAGTTCGCATCCAGCACCAGCTTCTTGTCCCTGGTGCTGCAGCCCCCTGCCTTCGTGCATTCCTTCACCGATATGGTGGGATTCCCTTCCTGCTTCAGCGTCCCGGCCTGCTGCGCTGAGCTGGCTCGAAGGACTGCAAGCAGGACGAGCCCTGAGACTGGAGACATGGCGAGGCGGCGCAGTCTTTCTGCAAAGAGAAAAGCGGCGGGCAGCTGTCGGATCCGATTGACTCTGAAGCCAAAATGCAGTCGTGCAGCGACATCACCACGGCTGGGACATTGATTTCTCTCGGAGAACAACTTGCAAAGCAACAACTATCAGGACTGCTGCTCTGCAAGAGGGGTCCATGAAGTCAAGACTCCAAAGCATGCGACACTCTCATCCGAGAAGCAAACAGAGCCTCTGCCTGTGCTGGGGGGGGTGAGTGGCGGTGCAAGCATCTCCCGGAACTGCTCACAACCTTTGACTTACATGCAACAAGGGACCAAAAACAACATCGCACCATGCTGAAAGAAACTCCGGCATGGGTGTCTGCGAACATCTTGCCTAAGGAAAGATCACCATGAGTTAGCTTTGGCCGCTGAGCTCGGGGGGACCTGGGGATCTAGAAGCCGGCAAGCTGGGCACCTACAACAACGTATTCTCCCTGGCATCCACTGCCAAACCCAGCATCCGTTAATGCCAGTACTTGAGTTGTCAGACGAAGATGGATACGTCAACAATATTCAGAGTTAGGAACCCTTTCTGAAGCGAACCAGACATATAAGGCTACGTCCTATGCATCCTATGCAATCGGAAGCACAGTTTGAACAATCTAGGGGACCGCATGGAGCCAAGAGCACATGTGCGCGCTTGAGCCGGTCGAGAGATGACGGAGAGATCAAAGGAGAGCATGCGGCGATTTTGGTTTCAGGACTCGGCTCCCGCTCGGTCTGGAAACCGAGAGCTTGCGGTTGAGGATATCGAGCATAAAGGGGCCCGAAAAAACTTGACATTTCTCGCCGCACGTCAGCTGAGGGGCTTCGGAGCTGATGCAAAAGCCCACGAAATCCTCAACCCCTACCCCCCCCTACCCCCTCACCCCCCTCCCCCCTGGCAGAGCTTTGTTTTGTGGCCAACTGCACCCGGCCGGCTGTGGAATCGATCGCCGACAAGCCTTCAGAGCTTCGCTCTGGACTGCGAGCGCTTGGACACCGAGCTTTTGCACAGGGAGGCAAGCCCAACACTTAATTCTTTTGGGGGTTTAGGGTTTAGGGTTTAGGGTTTAGGGTTTAGGGTTTAGGGCTTAGGGTTAGGGGGTCGGGTGCAGGGTTGAGGTTTCAGGCAAAAGGGTTTGGGCCATTTAGGGTTCCGCCTTGGGGGTTTGGAGTTTATTGGGCTTGCCTCTCGGAGCACACTCCTGGTTGCTGCAGGCGTGTTACCTTCATGCGCTTTGAGGCTTGGGGTTTAGGGGGTTTTGGGGTTCGGGGTTTTAGGGGTTTTGGGGTTTTGGGCTGAAGGCTCAGGGCGTGGACGCTACTTTTTCTGCGAGAGCTAGTCGTCCGTCTCCTTGCGCAGGAGATCTCCTGGATTTGCCATGTGTGTTCTTTGGCAGCCTAAATCCAATTTTGAAGAATCTGCCCTCTAAAGCCCAGAATAGTATCAAAATTCAGGACAGGGTATCACAATATGGGGGCTCAGCGGGTCCTTGCTCTAGTCGACAACTTGCATACCCGAGTTTCTAAGCACTCAACCCTAAAAATCGAACTGCCAGGTCTCTGTGGCAGAAGGGTGTGAACGCGTAGCCATCCGCCTTGTAGAACTTGCTTTGGAACTCCACCTCACCAAAAACTCCCTTTCTTTTACACGTACCTGGATGCACATAAAGTTGCAAGTTGTCATCGCAATATGGTGCTCTTCGAACGAGTTGATATTGCCGCAGTGGCATGACGTTCTTGCAGGTCTGTGTTGTCCTGCTCCTCTGTCACTGCGCCGTGCAGAAAGGTACACTTTGGGCGTTCCCTGGCGTTTGCTTGTCAGTAGGTGCCGTCCCTACGTAGATGTTATCGTACGCTTGGGAGCACCTCACAAGAGCTCACTGCGAGCGCGATGGGGAGAAAAAAGCGGACATCCGTATTAGTCGCAACCCTAAACCCCAAACCCGAAAGGCCCTGAACCCGAAAAGCCCTAACCCCCAAGAGCCCTAAACACTAAACCCTAAACCCTAAACCCTAAACCCTAACCCCACCCTCAACCCCTAAACTCGACAGTGCCCAGCAAGGCGCCCAATGAAGGCGCAGAGTGTGCAGGAAGCACTCCTCAGATCGGATCGCTTCTGCTCTCAGTTTGAACCTGGAAAGGAGACCTCCCTTTAAACCAAACCCCAGGCCATCTTCTTTTGGGGAGCAGAACCCATTAAACAAAAGAAAGAAATGCTCATACTCATTTTTGGGACTTTCTTCAGCACAAACATGGGGAACATCATTCCTACAAGGAGACACTCCAGGGGTGAGAGAAAGCCCTCCGAAACCCGCTCAGATGGCGAGGCCCGAGGCTCCATGACGTCCATGCCGAGCAGGATGCCCACCGTGGAGGCGAACCAGAAGTAGAAGGCCACGTAGGTGGCCAGGATGTTCCTCGAAGGAGAGAGCGCTGTTTTGGAGGGAGAGCTCCCTTTGCAATGTATGGGTATCTCCCAGAACAGGGCCTAGGGGGCACCCAGTTTATACCCAAAATGGGGCAGAAGCCCCTTAAAGAGACCCCCAAAAAGGGTACCCCCTAACTGGGACAGTTCTCTGGGCATAGGGAGTTGCAGCTTTGCTTCTCAGGAAGATGACCCGCAGCCCTCGGTTCCCAAACCCTCCCCAAAGCCCCGCGAAGAAAGCGGCCCAGCCACAGCGGAAACGGAGCACCCATGCCAGTCAGCAGCGTCATGCCGAAGAAGACCAGGGACAGCCTTGGCTGTTCTTCTTTGTGGGGTCCGGGGGTTCGAGGGGCGTTCTCGTTGTGTCCATATGAAGTAGGGTATATGTTTCTTGTATCTTGTATCCCCAAAAGGACACCCAATATATACACTCACCAATATTGAAAAAGGAACCTTATATACACTCACCAGTAAAAGCAATTTATACCCTGCTTCATATGGTAAAAGGAAGGAGGCTCAAAGCTGACTCTCAAGCACCGGGCGGCTGCTGGTGCGCGAGGGAGAGCGCCCACAGCCGGAGGTAAGAAGCCGTGTGCGACACAGTGCCCAGGACGTACTCGATGGTCTCGATGACCTCACAGAGGCGAGTTTGCAGGCGGAGGCCTGTCCGGGCATAGCCCTTATAAGACAACTCGCAAAGTGACTAAGCCACGGGCCGTTACTATGGAGGGGAATGCGACATACGAAAGAGCATAGAGCTCGGCAGTTCATTGGCCATTCAGCTGGGGGGCCTGATGGATGACGCACTCGGTGATGTCAAACTCCTCCTCCTCCTCTTCCTGCAGTCGCGTGAAGGAACTCAGCGGATCCCCCACATGCTTCTGAGCAAGAATCTAGAAGATGTCGTTTCCCTCAACCTTAATCCGCCGACCCCCTTTGTCGGCGTCAAGAAGCTGGACTCGTACTTTTCTCCCTGGACCCGCAGTTACCTCTCCCCACGGCACTGCGCGGCCTGCCCCTTCCCTGCACTCGCGTTTTTCCTTTTTTCTGGACCTGCGCGTTTTTTGTTGACCCCCCCCCCTACCCCCTCGAACCCCCCCTACCCCCCCCCCCGTTGCCACCCCCCCCCCCCCCCCCCCCCCCCCCCCCCCCCCCCCCCTGCCACCCCCCCCCCCCAAATGGGTGGAACCACACGTTTTGTGCAGCCAACACCGCCCCAACCCCCCCCCTCCAACCCCCGCCCCTGCCTAGCCGCCCCCACAAGAAAAGGGCCAAAAACAATCAAGTTTGTTGTTTTGGAAGGCGGCCAAATGGGTTTTGTGCTCCACCCTACCCCCCCTTCCCCCCCCCCAACCCTTCCCCTCCTGACCTATTCCCCCCCCCCCCTCCCCCCGCCCCGTCCCCCCCCCTACCCCCCCTCCCCCCCCACCCCCCTCCCCCCCCCCCCCCCCCAGCCCTGCCCAGCCACCCCCCCACAAGAAAGGGCCAAAAATAACAAAGTTTGTTGTTTTGGAAGGCGGCCAAGTGGGTGGAACCACGCGTTTTGTGTCCCCCCCTTACTCCCCCCTTCCCCTCCCGCCCCCACCCCCATTGCTGACTTCCCCACAAGAAAAACACCCCCGCCTCCCCACCCCCACCCCCCCTGCCTGGCCGCCCCAAGTGGGTGGAACCCCCCGCCCCCTACCCCCCGCCCTACCCCCGCCCCCCTACCCCCGCTGCCTCCGCCCCCCCAAGAAAAGGGCCGCGTTTTGTGTTGGCCCCTCCTCTCCCCAACCCCCCCCCCCCTACCCCCCCGCCCCCCTACCCCCCCTGCCTATCCCCCCCCCCCCCACAAAAAAACTGCCAAAAAACCATTCACGCGTTTTTGGGTTTCCTGCAAACCCCCTTCCCGCCCCCTGTGTTGCACCCCCCCCCCTTCCCCCCTTCCCCCCTTCCCCCCCCCTTACCCCCGTGCAGCCAACCACCACTTGGCCGCCTTCCAAAACAAACCCCTTTTCTTGTGGGGGTAGGGGGGTAGGGGGGGAAGGGGGGAAGGGGGGGGGGAGGGAAGGGTAGGGTGCAGCCACACACAGAAAGGCCAAAAACAACCCCCTGCCTAGCCACCCCCACCCCAAAAATAACCAGTTTTGGAGGCGGCCAAGTGGGTGGACCCCCCTTCCCCCCCCCCCTACCCCCCCCCCCCTACTCCCCCCCCCCTACCCCCGCCCCCCTACCCCCCTGCCTAGCCGCCCAACCAAAAACAACCGAACTAACAACCGAATTTGTTGTTTTGGAAGGCGGCCAAGCGGGTGGGACCACGCGTTTTGTGTTCCCTACCCCTTAATAGCCGCCCCCCCCACAGGAGAAGGACCAAAAACAGCCGAATTTGTTGTTTTGGAAGGCGACAGATGTTGGCTACTTTCCATGCATGGGAGCCACTCAAGAGCAGGCTTGTGTGTTTTTTGGGTGATCATCCGGAAGATGCCCGGCGGTGCCCGGACGTCCTTATCTTGGGGGTCGGCGGCAGCGGCGTCAGCCTTTAAATAAAGGATCAGCGCATGCCCCGAGCCCGCCAGACGGCGCACTAAACTGCGCCTCCAGAAGAGGGCGCACCGGAACATGGATTCTAAGACATTGCTTCTCAAAGTGTTGGCGGTAGAGGCTTTTAGAGTTTTCAATTGGGGTATCTACGGCTTCTAGGGTTTTGCTTCGGCTTTCGGAACTCGGTCCTCCTCCTGGGATACGAGGGACTCCTCGTCCTGGCTCAGCGGGAGGTGGCCACCTTGCGACGAGGAAGTCAGGGAGAATTCGGGGGTTTCGAGGGTTTACGGGCTCAGAGGGCGTGAAGGGGGGCGAAGCACCCCAAGAAAAAACTCCGAGGGCCGGGCTGCCGAAACCGCGTAGGCCGCCCGGGCCCATGCAGTGAATCGGAGGGTTGGCCTGGCCCAAAGAGGCCAAGGGCACTTAGGGGGCTTTTCTTGGGGGTGGGCGGTCCGTGCTTCCGTCTTTGGCCTTTTTGAGAGGTCCGGGCTCCAAGGAGGGCGCGCCCCGCCTTGTGCCTCATGTGGAGGATGACGGGCTTGGGAATCCTTGGCAAGCTTCTCCTAAACAACCCCCCCCCCCCAGAAGGCCCTATAACTCTTCACACTAGAGAGCCCCCCAATTTCGCGGCGCGCTCAACCCCAAGACTCTTGTTAGTGCATGCTGGCCGCAGCATGCATGGCACCGCCAGCATGCAGGTCCCCATCAGCAGCTTCCTCGGCGTACAAAGGCTTGCTGCGGGCCACACAAGCTTGTTGACATGGTCTCTTTTGCAATAAACGTCTTAAGAGTTCTTACGTTCCCACAGCTGCCCCCAGAATTCAGATGAAGACCCTACCTCCCGAGATTCGTTCTTTTGGGGGGACACTTCGGGGGGGTCTGCGTCTTCCATTGCTTTGCAGGCGAGATGTCGTGGACATGCTCCCGAGATGTGTACATCCCCTCGAGAGGGTTTTGCTCCGGAGCCAGGCCCCTTGCCCTCCCAATTCACTTCTTGAGGCCTGACCAGCCCCAATCCTGCAGCTACTGAGCAGCCGAGGATTTTCTGATAAAATCTTAGCACCAAAGGGCGGGAGCTCGTTCCCAAACATGGGGTTCGGGTCCTCCGTCCACATCGCCATGGCCTCAGAGCACGTAGCCTCCATTTGCGAGACTACGGACGTGGGATTCAAACATCTGGGGCTGTGGCCCCACAGGATGCTTTAGAACAAGCCAGCAAAAAAACCAACACACAACTGACAAACAAACCTCCCCTCGAAGAGCTGCGGCTTGCGGCTTCGCGGCGATCATGGAGTTGATGATGCTGGGCGGATTGGGCATGGGCGTGACCCACTTGTATAGGATCCTGGCAAGGGACTCAACATCGGAGTTAAAAGGAGAGTGGGGGGCTTGGGGTCGCCTCCTTCGCAAACACATGAACTCCCTCAACTGCCTCCCTCCGACTTCACACGTGCGGGTGCGGGGATCAACCCTGCAAAACCCTCAACCCACTGAGCCCCTACCATCCCCCACTTCTTACCCACAGTGTCGCCATTTCTTCGGCCAGGGCTCATGTAGTCCATGAAGCCGAAGAACCCGAGCATGAAGACCAGCATCGGCACCTGGAAGGCTCCACAACAAGAAGCTCCGCAGGCTTTTTCTAAGGCCTGTAAGGTGAAGGGCTTAAGGCGTTTCAGGAGTTCAAGAGTTTAGGGTCTGGGGCATCGGGATGCTTAGGGCTCATAGCAGACCCGAGGAAGACCTTCTTGGAAGGCAGTTCGGACTTCACAGGCTCCAGGGACTTCGGGCCTCGAAGCCTCCAACCCCGAAGCCCCCGAACCGACCCTGAAGCACGGCTCTTCCCCCCCCCCCCCCCCAACCACCCCCCCCACCCCGAGAACTCTCTTCCGGGGCGCGCATTCGCACCAGAAGTCCACCCGGTTCTTCTCGTAGAGGGCATTTGCGAAGCGGAGCCTTGGGGCATTCTTTTTTCCAGGGAAAGAGCGCGCCTCAAGAAAAAATCCTCAAGGAAGGTACTCACCACAAGCACCCCGACAGGAGCCCTTGTAATCCCGAAACCTCCCTCTAATGGGTCCCAGGAGCAACAGGCCGACGAACATCTGCACCACCCCCAGGACGACAGAGGTCTTCATCTTCATGGAGTTGAGGTAAACCAGCTCATTCTGCGCTCCGTGCCTTTGGCGCAGGGGTGCTTTATCCTCCGACGGGTCAGCAGCTACTTGACTCGCGGCGTCGGGGGGTGCAGATTAAGAGAGCTCGGGCTGTCGTCCTAGGATTTTGTGTTCTTGGTCATGTGAAGTATCAATTTTTGAGCTTTTCTTCATGTTGCGTCTCCTCTCTTGACATTCTTGCGCTTTTGCCACGTCTACTACGCTATCTTAGTATGACATATTATGATATATCGTCGTATACTTCCAACATGCCGAGGCACCAGGCTGGATCCAGGCCGAATGGGTATGGGCCCATGCCACCCTGGTTCTCCTGGGATGCAAACAGTTTCTCCTAAACCCAAAACCCTAAGCCCGAAACCCGAAACCCTAAACGCCTCCCACCTCCCCCTCCCCTTTTCACTTCAAAGGCTCCTTGTCGAACTTCGGCTGCAAGGTGACCACCTGATGCCTGGAGCTGCCACGGGGCTGAAAAGGTTGAATTGGGGATAGATCTAAATGCAGGACCCTTCTTTGGGGGACTTCTTGGGATGCCCAGTAGTCTCTGACTGCCTGTCTTCATGGGTTAGTCTACCGTGTGTTAAACCCGTCTTTTTTCAACATAAGGCGCCTTGTAAACGTAACCCCAGCCCTAAACCAGGCTTTGCGCTGGAAAGACCCTAGCGGTGAAAGGCCGAAGGAGGCAACACGTGCTCGGCCGCTTGAAGGGCTTAGGGCCTAGGAGCTTGTAGGGTTTGTGGCTTTGGGGGGTCTAGGGTTTTGGGATAAACAAGAAGGTCCCCCAAATACGCCCTAAACCCCCAAAAGCCTTCAGCCAAGGCTCTGTGGGGCATCCGCCGGGATCTCGGTCCAACGGGACTGGAAGAGGGTCAGGCCAAGGGAGAAGAAGTCGTTATAAAGGAAGCCTCAGCTTTGAGTGGGTTTCATTCAAGCACTCCGGACGACCTGTAGCGACAACAGACTATGTCAGGGTTTCGGGAAGGAGGATTTCCAGATGAAACATAAGGGTCAGATGATGATGCTGACAGGCATCGGATCCATTTGGGGTTTGGGGTCTCCAAGTTCGCGTCGGCTTCCTGCCGAGAAGCATCTGGAACAAGCAGACCCGGATCCGGTCTCCTTCCCCCTAACCCAACACTCCCGCCCCCCATATGCTGAATTTTGTGACGCCGAGGCGGCGCGCGCAAGCGCTTACAATTACTCATCTTGCGGGTGCACCAATACGGCCCAAACACGACACCCCAAACCCTAAACCCCGAACCCTGAACCCGAAAATCTGGGCTAAAGGGTGGCTTTGGGTCCTTAGGGTTCGAGTAGCAGCCGTCCAATCCCCAGATGGGGCTGCCAATTATCGTTGAGGGTGTGGGGTTTGGGGCTTTTGTGTGCTGGGGTTAAGGTTTAAGGTTTTAGGGTTTCAGGGTTTAAGTTTAGGGTTTAGGGTCTAGGGAGGGCTTCGTAGTGCCCCAAACAAAAAGAATCCGCACAAAATGACCAACCAGAAAGGGACGCCGCATGCGCTCACATTCCTGGTGCCCAGGCGCCGCAGTACACCGCAAAGATTCCCATCATCGTCAGGATATAACGGGCGGTGTACCTTGGCGTCCGCTCAGGGGCCCTCAAACCCCCAAACTTAAGATGTTCCCCCTCATACTAACAGTCCTTTATGTATCCCCAATGATAATCCCTATAAGGGACTGGTAGTATAAAGGGGGAACATCCCAACTCCAAACCATAAATTCCGACAAGGCGCGGGCCGGACGCACAAGCAGCGAAGGAGCGGTCCCACCACGAAAGTGGGGAAGGGTTTCCATATGGGAGGCGGAGGGACTGGAACCCCCAACCCCCTAAACCAAAGACCCTGAATCCTGCAAACCCTTGGAGCTCAGGGTTCCTTGAACGCAGTCCAGGATGCAGAGTGGGGAAGCTGTATTTCAGCTCATCCTGCTTGACCATCGCGAAGATGCCCACTGAGAGCAGCATGAGCCCGTGGCCGATGTCTCCATACCTGGGCTCAAGGCATCACTTTCACAGAATATCTTGCAGGAACAGGGCCTTCATACCCAAACCCTGGACCCTACGAGAGAGAGAGAGAGAGAGAGAGAGTGAGAGAGAGAGAGAGAGAGTGAGAGAGAGTGAGACCCCTGACCGGCTGAGGGCGGCACATGACACCGAAGAGGAAAGGGAAGGTGACGATGGTGAAAAGGGCAGGGTTCGCCTCCTGGTACCTGCTGAGAGATGGGTTTGAGCTGTTTTGGGTTTAGGGTTTAGCTTACCAGGCTGCTTCGGGCTTTTTGCAGGACGTTGAAACTGGAAGCCAAACACACGCAGGCCCTCGGCTTTCTGCCCCGCAAGGGGTGCCAGGAGAATGACACAAAGCCCCCAAAGCCAAAGGCCCCTGAACCCCGCCCCCCCAAAAAAAGACCGCTGCAAACTTGAGCCTTCGCAAACCGATAAGTGTCCCCAGCACCTTGAGGGAACCCTGAAAGCCATAAGGGTTTTCCGAGGCTTCACCTGGGCAGGCCGTAGGTGTCCACCAAAGTCTGGAAGATGGATGTGAATTCGTTCCTTGGGGCCGGGTGGCGAACTTGGGAGGGGGGGGGCTTCGGCGGTTCAGGGGCTTTACATGCTTTAGAGGCTTGCAGACATCGTGAACATCGAAGCTTGTCAGTGCTGGCCCAGGCGCACACGGATGTACCTCGCATAGGGGTTTGAAAGAGGGAATTGGGAGGCAGGGCGTGCGGGGTGGGGTGGGAGGACAAGGCCCCAGGGCTCTTAGGACGTAAACTTAGGATTGACAGAGGGTTATGGGACCTCAAGAACATGTCATCGAAACCTCAACAACCTCAACCCTGAACCCGTGCACCACACCCCCAGCCCCGCATAAGCCCACAGTCCCCCCTGAAGGCTCCTCCCACCCCCGTGAGAAAATGTCCCGAGGCACGTCGGGGGCTGCTTGCGAGGAGGACTCCGGTGCGGCATCAGCCTCACTTTGTCTTACTAGCCTCTTCATCGGGAAGTGGGCAACTAAGTGCCCGATGTGATCATGCAGAACGAGTAGATTCTTGGATTGAGCGTTTAGGCTTAGGGGTTTCGGGGGTTCAGGATTTGCAGCTGCTAGTGTTTGGATTCGTGCCGCTTGGCAGCCTCCACTCACTTGCTTTATGGAGTAAAAGGAGGATCCACGATGAGAATGGAGCAGCACACAGAATCTGCTGCTCTCCGGGCATCCTGTGTAGCCCCATGAGAACGCAGATGTAAACGCACCCAGACACATTAAGGGCCAGGGTATTGCCAGCGGAACGAGGGAGAGACGCAGAGAGGCCGGCAACGCTTGAGGGCTGCCCTAAAAAGCCCAGAACGCTCCGTAAGCCCTAGCCTGAACTAAAACACGACATGCCCCCTAAAACATCCTTAAACCCTATTAACCCTCAACCCTAAACCTCTAAACCCTAAACCCTCGGAAGCTCCCCAAAGGCCAGGCTGCACGGCCGAGGAATGGCCCCGCTGCGAGGCAAAGTGCTGGGTGCACAGCGCCCGGATGTTGTCCTCCGCTGCTTTTGAGGGGCGTTCTGGGGTTCAGTTTGTGGGGTCTGTAGGGCTTCTAGGGTTGACGGGGTTTATAGGGCTTTTAGGGTTTACAGGGTTGACAGGGTTTACAGGGATTTTTGGGTTTGTTGGGCCTGAATTGGAGTATCTAGAGCTCTTGGACTCTTGGGGGCGCTTCAGCGTCCTCCTCTGCTGCGGGGTACCAGCAGCTGGCCCGCAAGTTCATGTTGCCCTCGAAGAGGTTCCTTCGAGACGAGAGCGTCTTCATTATGGGTTTCAGACTTTTGGGGTAACGATGCTTCCGGATTCTCCAGGGGTGGTTCTGCCGGTGAAGCAAGATGCCCAATCGCTACGTGCTTCGGTGCTGTACATGGCTGTGTGCGGCTCTCTTTTGGGCCCGGAACCGACACCAAACAAAAAAACAAAAAAACCGAAGCAACAACCTTCTTCGAACCGAGGCTCAGCGTGGCGTAGATCGCCTTTTCCTTGACGCAGAACAGCCTCAGGGTAGCTCAGGGCGTGAACGATCGCAAACGGGAAGGTTTGACGAAGGCTTCCGCTTTGCGTACCTAAGCCTCAGGCTTGCATGCCAAACATCAAAACCTGCGAAAGCCGATAAAGGCACGTGCCCCCCAACTATCTCGAAAGCCCCCGACTCCCCAACGCCGCCCCGAAACCTTGAAGCGAACCCTAAACCCTCCTCCGCCACAACCCATGAGCTCCCCCAAAGCCTCCACTCTTCGATGAGGGAGTCCCGTCCACGTCCCGCAGGCTCCAACAGCGAGGCGGCCTCAAGGTTTTTGGGGTAGCATTGGCTGAGCACAGCAGCGCGCAAGCCACCCCAAGACCAGCCAAGCGCCACTCCGAGCCAAACCGAAGCCAACCGAAGCCAAACCTAGCCACATGTCTCGCAGATCTGGCTCCATCTTTCGCACCTTCTTGGGTCTGATGTTTATGAGAATGTTCTTGGGGATGCCTTCAACCTTTTGAGGGATGAGGCGTCTTGCGCCAGCTAGTCACAGTGTTTGTTCCAAGGCTCCTGCCCGTGGTTTAGGGTTACATTAGAAGTCAGTGTAACACAGAGAGAGAGAGAGAGTGAGAGAGAGTTAGAGAGTTAGAGAGGTAGAGTTTTCGAGAGTTCGAGAGAGAGAGAGAGAGAGAGAGAGAGAGAGAGCGAGCGAGAGCGACCAAGCTGAACGACCCCTCAGGGGCATAGTTCACTTACTTGGGTTTCTTGAGTGCTTGGGGCCAAAGAATTTAACTGTTGTAGCCCAACCCCGGCCCGAGGGTGGGGATAAAAATGGCAAAAAATGGCACTGAGAAGCACCCCGAGAGCCTTTGAAACAACCCTGGCAAGGGGAGCCTCGCTGTGCACAAAGTGCTCATGGGCCTCGCACGGCCAGTTCGGTTGTTTGGGGCTTCCAGAATTTCTATGGCTCTGGGGCTTTTCTGGGTCTTAGAGCTTTGGGATTTGGGCCCTAAGCCCGAAGCACTACATTACACCTTTTTGGGGTTGAGACAGAGGCACAGGGTTGCTCAGGACAACTCTGAACCCAACACCCACGAGCATCGCAACGCAGAAAGCGCAGAGGTCTTGCAACGGGCGTGCGCCCCAGCATGAGAGGTCTTGTCAGATTAGTCTGGGATTTCGGGCTAGAGTGCTGCAGTACTTCCAGGCTCGCAACGGGCACGCCCAAACCCGAATGTCAAAGAAATGCAGGTTGAGGGCTTAGGGCCAAAGTCCTAAGTCTCCCCCCTGAGCCCTGCAGCTCATAATGGCGCCGAGCCTTCAAAAGCCTTCGTTGATCCTCAACCTGCCCAGAAGGTTCTCGGGATCAGGCTCGTGTAGGGTTGGACTTTGAGAGGGTTTGACAAGGGAGGTTGGGGTAGTTGGGGTAGAGGGGCTGCCGATTTTCTTAGACACCAGGCTAGGGCTGAGGAACTCCCACCCCCCGGCGCCCTAAGCCCTCCTACCGCAAACAAACCTCCGAATTGTCAGTGTCCTCTGTTTAGGGCTTAAGGTTTGTAGGGCTCAGGGTTTTATGTGCCACTCGGTTTAGCTGAGCCCTCGACAAAGCCAAGCCGCTTTGGAGGCTTGAAGAGGATCATGCGAATGACTCTCAACTCCCTCGACTCCCTCGACTCCCTCGACACCCTCGACCCCCTCGACTCCCTCGACTCCCTCAACTCCCTACACGAAAACCCTGTAACATGAGCCTCAAGCGTAACCTCTCCGAAACCCTAAACCCTAAACCCTAAACCCTAAACCCCCCCCAGAGGGTCTCTCCGCCTGAACCTTCAGGCTGGTCTGCCTCTCCTGGGCCGCAGCGCGGCTCGCAGGCCAACGGTAGGTGTGCACGCCGAAGGAGGAGCCTTTGAGACTCTCTGGTTCGGGCTTAGGGACGTTTGGGGTTTAGGGTGTAGGGCTTAGGGCTTAGGGTTTCGGATGTTTAGGATGTTTAGGATGTTTAGGATGTTTAGGATGTTTAGGATGTTGGCTTAGGGTTTAGGGGTTTACGTTTAGGGTTTTGGGGTTTTTGCCGGTTTCGGGCTTGGGGCTTCTGGAGTTTGGGATTCAACCTTCCCCTTAACTAGGGACTCGCCAGGGTGTAAGGTTTAGTGAATTTCGTGGTTTTGCAGGGGGAAGGGGTTTGGGTTTGAGGGGGGGAGGTTTGGGTTTGGAGTGCACGGGGACTCAACCCCAAACCCTAAATCTTAAACTTCAAACCCTCAACCCCTAAACCCCAAACAGCCCTAAACCCTAACCCGTGCCAGCCGGCAGATCTTGTTGATCTTCTCGCTCATTGCCGACGCCGAGCCGCCCAGCCGATGATCCTCCGGTCTAGGGCATTGGCAGCCCACAACCCTGTGAATCCCCTATAAACCCTAAACCCTAAACCCGAAACAGCTCCCTGAAACTCCCCAAACCAAAAACCCAAACCTTGAAACGAGGGCTAAATCGGGCTTGGGGAAACAACTACAAGCACGGCTGGATGCAGGGTACCCGGAGCTCTAAATCCTAAACCCTGAAACCCCTAAATTCTGAAGTCCCCCGATAACCCCGAAAGCCCCTACCTCCAAAAAAGACCTCCGAAATAACCTCCTCAAAGTCTCAAAACACTCCAAACACTCCCAAACCCTCCACAAACTCCTGGAAGTAGATCACGAAGACCGACTTGTGCACCTCTCTGCCAGTCTTCGGATCTTGCATGGGCTCGAAGATTTGCCTCTGAACTTAGGAGGTCAGGGCTCAGAAGTCGGGGGGGGTTCTTGGGGGGGGGCCTTAGCGGGCCGTGGGGTTGTTTGGAGTGCCGAGTTGCTGGAAGTGGGTGAAGGTATTCCCACGCGTTGCTCTGAACAGCATCCGGGCAAATCTGTCCTGCTCCTCCTGGTGGATGACGCCAGCAATGCTGCTGAACATCGTCTCGAGGGTCCTCCTGCTCGTGCCGCGCTCCTCGTCGAGCAGAGACCTTTCCAAAGAGGGGGTCCGCAAAGAAATATGTATGAGTACGGACCTTATGTACCGGCCAAAATAATCTTGGGCCCTAGCGCCGAAAACCGCCTAAAGCCAACCTGAGGGCAGGGCCCCCCTTAGCCCACCACACGTGCGGGGCAGCTCCTCGTCACCCATCCCAATCCAACAAAAGTGGTGGGGGGGGGTGTGTGAGGTATGGATTGACGTCCTATTTGCCCCGAAACAAGAAGGTTGTAATCAAAAACTCTCGCAAGCTCCAAGGAGCTCGCTTTCGTGAAAGGCCCTAAAACCCTTAAACACCCCCCGCCCCCACCCCTTCCGAAACCCCCTAACCCTAAACCCTAAACTCCCAAACTCCCAAACTCCGAAACCCGAAACCCCCCTAAACTCCTAAACCCTAAGCCCCCCCCCCCAAAGCCCATCAAGGCGCCATAAAGGCCCCTAACAGCCTAAAAGTCCCTGAAAACCCGAAAAGCTCCAACATTAGGGGAAGAAGCCCCCCGTTGCCTGGAGGCTTCGAACTCGAACTCGTCCTCATCGCCGCCCGTTGGCGCTCGGTGGCGGGAGGGCTGCGATGCCTTCTGAGGTGGTTTGGGGTTTAGGGGTGTAGGGTTTAGGGTTTTAGGGTTTAGGGTTTACAGGGTTTAGGGTTTCGGGTTTCGGGTTTAGTGCTTCCGTCACCCAAACCTTGAATTACCCGGTACCCTGAACCTGAACCTCAAACCCTAAGCCCGAAACCCCGAAGCCCCGAACCCGAAACACCAAGTCTGCCTAGGCCCTGAACCGTACACCTTCAATGGCAACCCTTCCTGAAACCCTGACGCCCCCCGCAAGGCCCCGCAACCCCCACAAAGCCCGAAGCCCTCTCTGGCCAGCCTGCGAAACTTGCGCCATGGAGGCCACCGCTGTCTGTACAACATAGCACTCCTCCAAGGCAGCGTTCCGCCGCTCCTGGGAGGGGCGCAGAGGGCCGCCCTCTGCTTTGGCCTACTTGGCTTCCTTGCTTCTTCGTTTTTGGAGGAAGGGAGGGGTCTGTCCTGCAGCTTCGCGTTGTTCTCCTTAAACTGGATGAACTCCTCCAGAGGCACGGGGACGTGAACGACGTGAACTTGGGAGTTGGGGGGCGCAGGGCAGACCCCGGCCACTGTCAGCACTGCATCTGTTGGGGGGGGGAGGGGCCTTCCAGCTCTCAGGATGTCTTAGATGCTGATTCTTGCGATTCTTGGGGTTTGTGGCATGATTGGGTCCATGGAAGCCACATTCTCCAGGAGCAGAGATCACGAGGGTCGCGAGCCTTGTAAATCTTGAGGAGCTCCGATTCGACCTCGTCCAGCTTGTAGGAGTCCGATTGATCCAAGAAGGCGTCGACGTTGTTCTTGACAACTGCCGCGCCGGGAACCTCTTGGGTTGCTCGGTGTGTTCTTTGGCTCTGTGTTACTCTTGCCGTCTGCCTAGCTGACTCACACCACGCAGCGTTTTGTCTTGGGAGAGTCTAGGAGCGTAGTTCATGGGCATTTGGGAGCAAACCACCGGCACTCCCTGTTCTGATCCAGTTCAGGGGCTCGCGTCAGCTCCTCCAGAAGAAAGCGGATGATTCGTTCCATCTCATCAATTCGCTGGATGTACCTTCTAGCAGCTAGCACTCAACCGGACACAATCCACGGAATGATGGCGCAACTCAGCATCATGCTTGCTCTCCGAGAGGCTTCTTGTAGGGTCTGTGCATGTCCCTGGCGTTCATGTCTTCGAACTGCATCTTGGTGTGTTTGCCTGAGCCGGAACCTTTCTCCTCTTTAAGAAGCCCCGTTATGCCTCCGTCTTCTTCTAAACTGCCACTCTCTCTCACACACACAACACACACAAGTTCGCGTGCGAATGGCAAGTGATCGGAGATGACACGTGCAGAGTCCACGAAGCTTCAACGTTCAACGTTTTGTCTCGAGGCCCCGGCCAATAAGGTCTATGAACTCCCTGGCTCGCTCCACTGGCACCACCAGGGTCCCATGCTTCATCGGCTCCGAGCGAAGAAGGCCCATCTTTGGCGCAGAGCTCGAAGAATCTCGAAGAGACTCCACGGATGGCAGCTAGTAGTCTTTAAGCGGGTGTAAATCCAAAAGAACTGCACGAAAGTTGCGATGCTCCGGCTTACATCCCCGAAGATGAACAGAGGGTTTCGAAGACATGATTTCAGAGAGTGACGCGACCGACTATTCTGCCAGGCGGAAAAACAACACTATTTACGCTACCCATTGACTGGCATTGGCCGATTCTCAACTCGAAGATTCACAACACACTGCTTTGCGTTGCTTGAGCCGTAAATCCCAGCCTCGATTACTTTGAGACTTCGGCTGACAACACCCAACTCGGGGTTGGATTAAGGGTTAGCCCTAAACCCGAAACCCGAAACCCGAAACCCTAAACCCTAAACCCGCCCCTGGGTTCACAAGTTCAAGGTTGCAAGGGTTTAGGGTTGAGCGTTTAGGGTTGTAAAGGGTTTGGGGTTTAGGGTTTAAGGGGGTTCAGGGCTTAGGAAAAGCCCCAAGCCCCCAAGCCACCAAAAAGAAAAAAGGCCCGAAACCACGAAGGGCCCTCCACGAAACGCTGACAGGGCTCCCTTGCCTCGGGTGCTCGGAAGCTCCCTACACTGGCGTCGAACGTGGTTAGGTTTCAGCGGGGCTTAGGGAAGTTTAGGGTTTAGGGTTTGGTATCAAGCTTCTGGAGCTGTAGTCGGGGGCTGCCTGAGCCACCCTAAACCCGAAAAGCACAAGGAGTCATCCTGGGCCAGAAACCCCCAAAACCCAAAAGCCCCAAACCTCGCGCCGGCAACCTTTCGTGGCCGAGCCGTCCAGGCCGCAGAAGGCTCAAGAATCGTACTGTCAAAGCAGCCCCTCTTGTTAATTTGTATTGTCAAAGCGGCTCCAAAGCCTGGCGATTCAACGTGCGGCTTTGGCCCATTCTTGCACTTGGATTCCCTGACTACTCAACGTCGCAAGCGTGCTCCATGGCTCGGCAGGACGCCGATGCTGTGCATGGGGATCCTGCCCCGCCAGTGATGCTGTACATGCCCTCGCAAGCATCCAGGGGCTGGTCAGAACATGTGACATTCTCCTCAGTAGCCCAGTAACCATATTAGAATCAGGGTACCCCTTTTGGGTTGCTCACTTTATACAGGGAACCCCTGAACACCAAAAAAAGAGGAAAAGGGTGTCACATGGGCTACCAAGTCTCTGGCAGCGCCGTGCCGTTGCAGGCGCTCGAGAAGACAAGCCTTTCCGGATCCCCAGCGTAGATCTTGACATGGCGGATGTCCCCGTTGAAGTCTGTACCTGGAGCCCCCTCCACTTGGCCGCCAATGTGAATGGTCTCAATGGGCCTTAAGACGAAGTCGGCAGCCGAAATTTCCGGAACTATGGAAGCTGTGACCGTCTCTCCATCAACGATGAGAGAGGCACTCGTATTGCTTTTGACCATCTCCACCTCGTGCCAGCCGCCATCATCAAGCCGTTTGCCGGAAATCAACGTGCCTTCAGGACTGAACAGGCCGCGCCCACGTGGGCCGACTTCCGCTGCCGACTGGCAGTAAAAGGTCATTTTGCCCTGTTCGGCTGCGTAGGGCGGTCCAAGACCATGGGACATGAACGCTATGCTAATTGCAGAGGCGTCGTCGGCTGCGGGCGCCGTACCCGTGATGAGATTCGGATACTTTGAGCACATGTCGAAGAACTTGACTTGGCACTTGATGCGGAAAGACTTGACCATTTCATCCGCGAATTCGCTCGCATCGATGTCGCGATTCAAGGAGCCCGGATCCAGCAAACAATTTGGCGTTTCAGGCTCCTCAGGCTCGTCATCTCGAATGTCACAACCAAGGAGCAGAACACAGGCAGCAAACGCAGCAGAGGCCCCTGCCACCCATTGCCATGACTTTGCCATGGCTCGGATGAAGTACTGTGCGTTGACAGTGAGGCTTCACAGATACCAGCACAGGTTTCTGTTTTCTGTTTGGTCGCAGGGACGTTTTTGACATGGTCTTGTCGCACGAAAAGAAGGTGTGACACGGGCCATGTTTCGGTGCATGGAGCCTATGGGCCAATTTACCTAAACCTGGCGGCGTCAAAAACCGTATGAGTGTACACAGTACCAAGCAAAAACAGTTGCCATGAGCGACAAAAAGCAGGTTTGGTTTTGGCTGTTTTCTCAGGTTCTTGCGGAATTACGCCTACCGTCGTGGCTTGGCTTGCTTGTGGAGGGTTCATGGTAGTGTCCAGCAAAGTCAACGAAGAAGGAAGAACTTTGAGCCGTACGCCGTACGCTTTGAGCTTTTCGGGGTGTGTCCAACAATCGAACGAAGGAAGAACTTTGAAATGCACGCTTTGCGTTTGTAGGTGTGCATCCAGCAACATTCTACGAAGAAGGAAAAACTTTGAGTCGTAAGTTTTGAGCTTCTCGGGGTGTGTCCAGCAACATTCTACGAAGAAGGAAGAACTTTGAGACGTCCGCTTTGAGCTTTTCGGGGCGTGCCCAGGAAACTCGACGAAGAAGAAAGAACGTTGAGACACGCATTTGAGTTTGCATCGGTGCATCCAGCAATCTCAAAAAAAGAAGAACTTTGAGAGTAAGCTTTGAGCTTCTCGGGCTGTGTCCAGCCAGTTCAAAGAAGAAAGAAGAACTTTGAGACTTACGGTTGGAGCTTTCCGGGGTGTAAGGGGCTTTTTGCTCGCCTCAGCCAAACTTTGAGTTCAGGAAAAAGAAGCCGACACAAAACCTGCCCCAGTGACAGAACCTCCCAGCATTTGTCCAGCAAATTCAATGAAGTAGGAAGAACTTTGAGACGCACGCTTTGAGTTTTTCGGCAAAATCTACGAAGGAAGAAGAAACTTGAAACGTTCCTTTGAGCTTTCCGGGGTGCCTCCAGGAACATTCTACGAAGAAGAACTTTGAGACGTGCGCTTGAGCTTTGTGTCCAGCAAATTCTACAAAGAAGGAAGAACTTTGAGACGTATGCTCTGAGCTGTTCGAGGCGTGCCCAGCACATTCTACGAACAAAGAACTTCTTTGAGGCGTACGCTTTGAGCTTTTCGGGGTGCGTTAACTTTGAGACGTACGCCGTACGCTTTCAGCTTTGCGGGGGGCGTGTCCAACAAATCAATGAAAAGGAAGAACTTTGAGACGTACGCTTTGAGCTTTTCGGGATGTGTCCAGAACATTCTACGCAGAAGGAAGTACGTTGAGACGCACGCTTGGAGCTTTTCGGGGTGTCCAGGAAAACTCTCCGTAGAAGGAAGAACTTTGAGACGTACGCTTTGAGCTTTTCGGGGTGCGTCCAGCAAAATTCTACTTGAAGAAAGAAGAACTTTGAACCTCCTCAACCAAAAAATGTATGTGGGCATTTCCATCCCAAAGCCACAAGCTTGTCCTGAATGATCGGATTGATCGCTGAGTGATGCACGGTGGGACGTGTAGGCTCATGTAACGGCCCAGCTCCCACAGAGCCCGAAGAAGGAGACCCTCGACCCCCAACGACCCCCAACCCTGAATCATATCAGCTACTAAGACATTCAACTCCTTCTGGCTCGTACGGTGACATGCACTCCACGAAGTCGGGTTGCCACCCAAGAACCATCACTCAACGTCTACATGCCCCGGGGTGCAGGAACAGACCCTCAGACCTTCCCACGGCGGACTCAACCCTAAACATGCGCACAAAAAACATGCCCCCCACTTCTAACAGCTTTTTCCTTTGCTTGAGCACCTCTTTGCACACAGCTGCTAATCCCAGCAGACGTGGCTCTGCGGCATCTTGGGGCTCGACCCCAGGGTTGCTTTCAGCCGCGGGGGGGCGTCGGAGATTCTGGGCTCGAATTGTGCGCCGCTTCTTAAAGGAGCGGCTCCTGGCGGGCTAAGCCAAGGAGAATTCAAGAGGTGCCAACAGATACTGTGGGAATACAGCCGTTGACAATGTCAGTGGCGCATCCGGCGTGTGCTGAGACAACATGTGCCCCACAGCCCTTGACCTCCGACCCCATCCGAGACCTTTGCACTGCCGGAACCAAGTTGCAAAAGCAGGCTCGGCACGGCTGCCCGACCCCAAAGAAACCTGCCTTCTGATCTGGGCGTTCGTGGCGTGCAGCCTTTCAGGCCTGTAGTGCCCGATCGTCAAGTCCGGCCGCCCCTTACAAGAAAAGCACAGGGCTTCCAAACGAACGGATGTGAGCTCTTGGCTGGGTCTTGGTCTTCCTTGAGAGCAGAGGCAAGTCCTCGGGAGAGTGGATCTCCTGGAAACTCAAGCGAGACTCGCTGGATGCCACCATCTGCCACCCCTGCCGCGAGACAAGGCCGAGAAATGAGCAAGACGCAGACAGCTGAACTTTGGCCGTTTGGCACTTCCGCCGCTCACGCTCCTCCTTATCGGCATTATGCCATCAGCGGCATCCTTTGACACAGCTGCAGGGTAGCCGTGTCTACATGCTCAGATCTCGAAGTTAGGGTTCCTTTTGGGGTCACGATGAAAAGGCGGCCCCTGTAATGTTCAGGGTACCCGAATAAAGGACCATAACTTCGAGAACTCACATGCGTACTGCCTCGGTACAAGAGCGGAGCATTATTGCGGACAAGATGTCTTGCTGGGGCGCGAGTTGATGCCGCACCCTCGCACGCAAGTGGCCGCAAAGCGCCTTAGCCTAGACACCTCTTGCGCCGTAAGGCCTTCTCAGGGCCTTGTGAGGGCCCCAAGCCTTCAGGACCGTCAGGCTCAGGCCTGTTGGAGCCAAGGAGCAACCCGTCTTCTTTCGCCACGCAGCGATTTGACTGGAGCCCAAAGACACCTGCATGACAAAGATGACAGCCACAGGTAGTGCGAGGTTTTTGAACCCTCGGCAAGCAGCATCCTCCCTTGGCAGCTCGCTTTAGCCAGGGCCTCAACTGGGGCGCACCAGTTTCAAGGAGGATCCTTCATAAGCCTGGGTGGGTCTCTAGCACTGAGCTGCAGCTGGGAATTGCACCACAGGATTTCTACGGAGGCCAAGGGGCCTCTTGTCAAGGTAAAGTTTGGAACACCTACACAACATGATGGGACTTAGGTAGAGAGCCCACAGCTTTCAGCATGGCAGATGAAGGAGGCGGCCTTCTTCCAGGCCTTGTGTGGGTCTTGGCACGCATTAGGGCACGCTTCTTCTGGTTGTGGTAGGTGCGCTGAGACAGTAGGCAAGTCTTTCCACATGCAGGAGAAGCGATTGTGGACAGGGCACCGGCTCGCCAACACTCGCGCTCACTCGCCCGCTTAATCTCGAGCTCAGCCCACTTAGGGCTTGAGATTTTTGGGGTTTTTGGGGTTCGGGATGGGGGCGCTTGGCGTCCCACCCTCGCAGGACGCAGGTCTCAAGGAGTCCTAGAGGATTGCGAGGAGTCGAATGTCCAACCCAGCTCCTCTTAGACGGCGGGAGTTCAAGGGCTCACAATGGGCTTCCCTTTTGAGAACCTTCCACCCCCCTAAACCCTAAACCCTAAACCCTAAACCCTAAACCCTAAACCCTAAACCCCCTTCAGCCCCTGACTTGGCCTGACTGGAGCCCTGTGCTCTGTGAGCTCTGTTTCGGTGGCGCAAGGGAGCAAAGGGAGGAAAGGGAGGGGCGCCTGGCGCGCCTCTGCCCGGCCTTTCCAGAGGCTTGGAGACAGCGATGGTGGAAAGCCACGGAACCCAGCTTCCGGGAGTAGCACAGTCTAAGGCAAACTTCTGAAGGGCACTCTTCCTTCGATGCGCCCCTCATGACTTCCCTCGCCTCAACTCTGCTCCGCACCTGTACACCTAACTGTTGTATACACTGCATACACTTGAGACTTCTCAAGGATTGCCTCCAAGGCTTCCATGGCGGCCTGCGCGTGCTGCTCGGATGAAGGCGGGAGAGCAGATGCGGCGAATGCGGCTCCTGGCCACGAGGGACCACAATGGACCACAGAGGCTTCAACATGAGCTTGTGGTCACCCGCTCTGACCCGGAAAAGCTGCAAGTTATCTCTGCCGTGAACCGGCCCTCCTGTCTCATTCAAGCAGAGTACGGCCCCAGGCTTTCTGACGACCCGATGATCATGGAACTCTCATTTTAGAGCCGCGGCTGGGCAGCGCCACACCCGCTTTCGAAGCAGCTGGGCAGCTGTGAACTGAGAACGAGACCACCCGAACGCATGTCGACTATCAGTCAGTGCTTGTGGAGTGCCCTGTGGCCGGTGGCCGGTTTGCGTGTGAGCACCAACAGGGGCTCTGGAACCATCAGGCGACTCTCAGGAACTGTCAGTGCATTCTCAGGGCCTGTTTTCTAAATCCGAACTGTCGGAACTACTGTAAAGTGAGCTACTGCAGGCTTTAAGCTCGAAGGTCCGAATGGGTCTTGAGACTAGAGTGACGGTTCCTGAAACCAGGAAACGCACGGACAGAAACCTTGTGTTGAACAGGCCACCGGGTACTCTAAGGGTACTCTAAGTCAGTGCGGCGTCCAGATCTAGGAACCCGCGAACAGGCCCGAGAACGAAGTGCACGAAGTGCACGAAGTGCACGAAGTGCACCGAAGCGAGCTCCAGGTTAGGCTGCACTTTGGGGCTGAGTTTGTTGTTTGCTTTGGGGAAGCTCCAGGTTTTTTGGGCTTTCGGCAGGGAGCGCCAAGGAAGCTTCCCAGCATGACGTGGGAAGTCAGGAGCCCAGAGCTGCCAAGCGACGGAGCAGATGCCCAGCGTGCTGGGGCGTCAGCTCCCTGTCAGATGGGTTTAGATGGGCTTAGATGGGCTTAGATCGGCTTAGATGGGCTTTAGAGGCTCTGCGGCCGATTACAGGGTGCGTGGCCCATTGTCGCCTGCCCACGAACCGATCGCGCGGCGATGCGACTGGTGGAGACACAGCCCGTGCAGTACTCAGGGCTTCGGGCTCAGGCCAGAACTTGCTGA